GTTTTTCTTCTTTAATTAAATAAAACAACAATAAATAAACAATCAACTTTTTACAATGTAAAATCCATGTTGTTCTCAGACCCTTACTGATCAAAGAGGAACAACTCTGAAAATGTAGATGTTTATTTTCCTCCCTTTATTCACGGTTTTCTACAGAATCAGATACATTTACAGCAAGACCTGATAAATCCGAGAATTGAATTCTATAGACCTCATATACACAATGTAAGTATAGAATTGAAAAGAATTGTTCACTTGTACTGAACTTATTTGCATTTATAAATATTCCATTGCAGCAAATCGTAACTTTGACTTTCTGTCAACAATGTCGGTTCGCATTTCCTCGAATCAAAACAAAACGTAGCCTATAAGATTTTAAAAAAATATCAATGTGGGATTTGATATAAATTGAAATAGACGAAGAGTTTAATGTTTGATATTTTGAAGTTAATGTGGACGAATACGGAATTTTCATTTTAACTTTAGAAGCGACGACATTGAAAGAAATGCGTACAATATCATGAGGGGTGTATGTACATCTAATGCAAATGTCGATGTATCCCCACGGCCACATACTGTCTCGTTTGAAATAATGACATGAAAGAAACTACAATTATTCCATTTTTATCACAGGAGAGTTGAACATACACCATTTTTATAATGAATAAAATTAAAAATCAACATATTCAAGTTCAACAAAACTTGAATTCGTATCCAGGTTTCATGTGATATGGAATGCATAACGCATACGTATATGGACTAAACACTAAAATCTTTCAGTAATTTTTTCCTTATACATATAAAAAGAGTAGTCAATATTTATTCTGCATTCATGAATTAAAAAACTAATGCATACCTCCGGGATTCTTGACGAAATACTAGTATATTTGCACTGTAAACAACATTTCGTCAAACGCTAATGGTCTGCGACGCAAAAAAGGAAGGGGTGGGGGTGATAGGGGTATTCAAAAATTGCCTAAAAATCTACATTTAAATAAGCTTTACATATGAGAACTTTTAAATGTGTAAGTTAATGTATTTTTGAAGCAAAAGCAATATTCCAATTTAATTTTTTTTAATGTGTATTTGTAGATTCATATAACAAAGTGATCGACCCCCGTCTGAAAGACGCGCGGGAACGTGATTTATTGAGAAAGGGGGAGGGGGTAATTTTCCGCTATTAAATCAAAACTGGTCGTACAAAAATTATACAAAAAATTATGAAGATTGTTTTTACTACCAGCTACCTAAAGAAAGTTTCTTATCAAAATTAAACGACAGGTTTTTTCACAAAAAAATTTTGAATTCGAAAAATACGCAATTTTCAAGGCTTAGAAAATTCATAGTTTTTCAGTTTAAGGTCTTTAAAAATTGTTTTAATGATATGTATATAAAAAAGACGACCATGTTTTTGTGTTACATGGTTAAAGGAATAAGCCAATGAAATTTGACATTTATATCTAACCTGGTTTTATTGAAAATCAAGGTTTAAGTAGTTCATTGATTAAAAATTTTCTCTCCTTGTAAACAACTAAAGGGGGGTAATTTCGGAAGTTCCTGTCCAAAAACCACTCGAACGATTTTGTCCAAACTGTCCATACATGCAGTAGATATCGTAAATTACTAAATATATAAAAATAACCAAAATTAAACGACAGGAATTTTTTTGGGGTAGGTGTGTTGTACATCCTTAATGTTTTTTTTATCAGTTATTCTATCAAATGTTAAATTCATTTTGTATTCATATTAAATTCTATCAAATTAATAAAAAAAAAAAGATGCGGATTGTTCATTGTAGAATTCAGATGATGTTTGTTATAATAAGTTACATTTTATTTCCCAACAATTTTTTTTAAATGCATAATTGTGAATACCAATAAAGTATCTCTTATTATAATGAGTTTTATTTTTAAAAAAAATGGCCAAGACAAAAGTTTTTTCTTTCAAAATATCCTATGTAGGTTTGATAAAATACCAACAAATTTCAGGCCATAGCGAAATTTTCAATTTTGTTTTTTTTTTCTTCTTCTTCAAAACTTATATTTACATTTGGGAGCTAGGGATATTTGAATAGAAATACTGCATAAACATCCTGTCATACCTCTTAGCTGAGACAAATAGTGACATAAAAGTGGAGGATAAAAGTTCATGAAAGTTTGTTTGTAGTGTTTAAACTGATGTTATAGACCAGAGTCTCAAAAGTTGTGTTAACAATGATAATACAAAAATCACTGTTGAGGGTATTTGATTTCATGAATACTTCATAGGTGAAGCTTGTTGAAAGCTTAAGGGTGGCATTTCAATGGGAATCGCCTATCTCTACCTTTCCTTTAAGAAATAACGGGTTTAATTAATTATTCTTATCATACTTCATATCAAAGTATATATTTGTTGTCCTTCAGTTGTTATGTCCCCAATATCAAATATTCAGGGCATATAGCTGCTGGTATGTCCGTTTTAAAGGTTTGTTGATTCAGATCAAATGCATATCGGTTAGTATCTGTTTTCAAAAATAAACCTTTAAACATTTAAATGTTCACTTTTAAGGCTTTAATATTTTAGAAAGTACAATGCATTTCTTGTGACAACACCTTTATTTAAGTACCTTTTACCTCTTAAACTTCACCTTTCAATTCCTCTTCAAAATTTTACCATATTTTAATCATTGTTTTAAACGAAGTAAATTATTGACAAGCAAGTTGATGAAAAAGAATATCAACAGTCTGGTTTAAAGTCATCATTTCGTAAATTCTATGGTCGATACAATTATATTGTCGGCAAATACAGTTTATCATTGAGTCAAATGCTGACTGACGTTTTTCATACTAATTGTTTGTCCATTATTTATACACTGAATTGACGACGGATTTTTTCCGTTATTTCCTGATCATGACAACGAGCACACGGTTGGCAGATGATGCTCACTCCTCAATGGCACTTGATCCCACCTCTGAGATTTCGGACGTCTGTGTTTGCTCTGTTCTTATTTTGTATATTGTTTAATGGACGTTGAGATTGAATACTGTTCGTTATCTCCATATCCTTCTTATGAAGTTTTTAAGAGCCATTCTCTGTAATGATTTGAAATTTTATATAGGAGCTGTGGCACGCATAGTCTCAGAATTTCTCCAAACTCTCTATGATAAAAGGCATTGATACCCTGAACTGAAATCAGGCAAAAATTGGTTGCTATGTTTTATAGTTACCATGGCAACATGTCTTAAAGTTCGAAAAATGGCATTTTTTAACATGTTTAGAGCCCCATAGTTAACATTTGCGGCAAAGCAAACAATTGTTAATGACTGTTTCCAAACGTTGAAGGTAAGATGTCTCAAACGCATGATAAACATGTTTGGTAAATCAACTATTACATACGTTACTATGGTAACAAAGTATTCAAAAGTAAAAAAAAAATATTCATTGAATTTTATGAAGTCATACTCGTAAAAATGAAAAGCAATTATAGGATGAAATGTTACCAAATAATAGAAAAAAGAGCCTTGAAACACATACCAAGAAAAAATATGATATTTCATTTTGGTTGGCAATGGTTGTCAAGGTTTTTATGCCCCAGAAAGCCTTCAAAGTAACACTATGTATGTTTAAATATGATCCTATCTTTTAAAAAAAGCACATTTCCTCATAACTAATGATCAATTTTATAAGATGTTGGTGTGCTCCAAATTTTCCCATTTCAAAAAATTCAGATTAGATTCTTTAAATAGAGCGTTGCTATGGAAATAAGCAGAAAATATATGCTTAAAACCCTGAAAAATATTTTGTTTCCTTGGATACGTACCCTTAAATGTAGATTCCCAAAACTTTTATGATTGATATTTATTAACAGCTAACTTGACTTTTAATTTTGACTATCATCCAATCTCTAAGTGGATGCAAGAAGTTGGCACACAGGATTTAATATTGATATAAAGTTAAAAAAATCGAGCATTTTCCCTTCTTGGTAACCATAGCAACAGTGTTGTTTTATTCATCAAATTTTATCAATATATGATATTTAACTTCAGTTCTAACAGATAAGACTATTCCAGCTGAGCTCATTAATTTGTTTCTTGATTAAATGGCAATTTAATTCTTAATGCAGCGGAAAAAAATTCACTTTTAAGCACTGGTACTTTGTTTCCATGGTAACACTACAAAGTAGCAATTATACCCAATTTTTCTTATGGTTTTGGTGTTGCAAGGTCCTAAGGATGCATATTTGCCAGTCTTGAATTTTCATGTTTTTCCTCAAGACAGTAGCATTAACCCAATCTTAGTTACTGGTTTTGCATGGTTACACTGTGTTACCATGGCAACCATAAATTTTTTTTTATAGAATAATATTGCTTATACTTATATACTTAAGGTCAAACATTTTCATTGTTTTTCTTAAGTCAGTGATTGAGTTTTAGCATGTAACACCTACCATTAGTGAATATGGAGTGTTTTTCAGCATATTTCAGCATTTTAAATGTATTCCAAATGTACCCTTGGTTACCACTTACTTAGAGATATATTCTAAACAGTTTCTTCACAGTATAAGTGACATCAAGGTGTCATGTTTTTGTTAGAATGGTTTGTTTGCTTTTCCTAGTTTTTATTAAGCCACAGTCAGGATTTAAAGTGGCTGAAAATCTCGATTTTTCAAACTTTTCCGGCTGTTGCCATAGCAACCGAGACACTTAGCAACGAAATTTTGTTTGATATTTGTTTCTGGTGTCAAGTACTAAGCATGGGTGAAGTTTCATCAAAATCGGTGACCATGCGTGGCAACGAAGTTTAAGTGGTTACAGAGAATGGCAATTAAATCTTTTTCCTTGAATTGAAGTTTGGCCAAGAGATGTACATTTGCAAAGTCTTTATCCTTTTAAATTCTGGAACATCTAGTAGGTAACTATCTAACTATTATATAAAATATACTGCTATTTCATGAGAAAGACTTTAATATTTCATGTATTTCATTATGAATAATGTCACACAAACAACAATGTCCTGTTTCTTAATAGAATTAAGACACAGTAAACTATTGTTTAAAAAAAAAATAAACATGCTTAAAACAGAACAAAATTCTAGCAGATTTTCATTCACATTGATTTATTTAAACATCTTGAACTTGATATAATAAATTCTTATAATAAACAGAAAATGTTTGCCCTGTCACTTTGTAACGAGCCTTTTTGTTGAAGAAAAAGTCATTTCTATATCCGATGTCACTTCTTTGTTAGCGATATGTCATATCTTTATCCGATGTCACTTCTTTGTTAGCGATATGTCATATCTTTATCCGATGTCACTTCTTTGTTAGCGATATGTCATATCTTTATCCGATGTCACTTCTTTGTTAGCGATATGTCATATCTTTATCTGATGTCACTTCTTTGTTAGCGATATGTCATATCTTTATCCGATGTCACTTCTTTGTTAGCGATATGTCATATCTTTATCCGATGTCACTTCTTTGTTAGCGATATGTCATATCTTTATCCGATGTCACTTCTTTGTTAGCGATATGTCATATCTTTATCCGATGTCACTTCTTTGTTAACAACACAAAGTTTCTCGGTGAAATCTTTGGGTCAAAAACTGGCACGTAGAGATGACACACCTGGAAGTCAAACACAGAAATAACTTTAATGTCTGATTAAATAAAACTGTAATAAATTCCAGGAATGGTAAGGTACAATTCATATTCAACCGATAATGTTATGCTACACTTCATTCTGCATTGACAGTCTGCAATAATTAACTGGTGAATCATAACTTAATACTGTACAGCGGGTTTTTTTTGCGGGTGTGAAATTTGGCTTCTGCCTTCTGAAAGGTTGGTCAATAATTTTGGTATTACTAGTATTTTTTTTAGGGGATACAAGGTAACAATTTCTTTACAGTGAACACAAAGAAGAGATAGAACAAAATATTTTAGTGTTTAAAATTGTAGCAGACTATTATCAAAACGCTGAAATAAGGCAAATTAATTACCCTGGCTAATAACCCGCTATACATTTCTATAGAATCTATTCTTGGGGGACCAAAGTTTACGGTTATATTTAAAAAATGTGTCCGTTCCGTCCGTCTAGCTGTCTGTATAGACACTGACCTTGTTCATATTAGTACACCTGTCTGTCTGTCTGTCTTTCTATCTATCTGTCTGTCTGTATAGACACTGACCTTGTTCGTATAAGTACACCTGTCTGTCTGTCTGTCTTTCTATCTGTCTGTCAGTCTGTATAGACACTGACCTTGTTTGTATAAGTACACCTGTCTGTCTGTCTGTCTGTCTGTCTTTCTATCTATCTGTTTGTCTGTCTGTCTGTATAGACACTGACCTTGTTCGTATAAATACACCTGTCTGTCTGTCTGTCTGTCTTTCTATCTATCTGTTTGTCTGTCTGTCTGTATAGACACTGACCTTGTTCGTATAAACACACCTGTCTGTCTGTCTGTCTGTCTGTCTGTCTGTCTTTCTATCTATCTGTCTGTCTGTCTGTCTGTATAGACACTGACCTTGTTTGTATAAGTACACCTGTCTGTCTGTCTGACTGTCTGTCTTTCTATCTATCTGTTTGTCTGTCTGTCTGTATAGACACTGACTTGTTCGTATAAATACACCTGTCTGTCTGTCTGTCTGTCTGTCTTTCTATCTATCTGTCTGTCTGTCTGTATAGACACTGACCTTGTTTGTATAAGTACATCTCTCTGTCTGTTTTTCTGTCTGTCTGTCGGTCTCTCTGTCTGTATAGACACTGACCTTGTTCATGTACGCACACCTGTCTGTCTGTCTGTTTGTCTGTCTGTCTGTCTATCTCTCTGTCTGTCTGTCTGTATAGACACTGACCTTATAAGTACACCTGTATGTCTGTCTATCTACATGTATCTGTCTGTCTGTCTATGTAGACACTGACCTTGTTCATATAAGTACACCTGTCTGTCTGTCTGTCTGTCTGTCTGTCTGTTTGTCTGTCTGTCTGTCTATCTCTCTGTCTGTCTGTCTGTATAGACACTGACCTTGTTCATATAAATACACCAGTCTGTCCAGTAACAGCAGGGTCTCCACCACTGGACTCAGACTCAGACGGAGGCTGTAGAACGTCACCACTTGTCTGTCCAGTAACAGCAGGGTCTCCACCACTGGACTCAGACTCAGACGGAGGCTGTAGAACGTCACCACTTGTCTGTCCAGTAATAGCTGGGTCTCCACCACTGGACTCAGACTCAGACGGAGGCTATAGAACGTCACCACTTGTCTGTCCAGTAACAGCAGGGTCTCCACCACTGGACTCAGACTCAGACGGAGGCTGTAGAATGCCACCACTTGTCTCCACCACTGGACTGAGACTCAGACGGAGGCTGTAGAATGCCAACACTGGACTGAGACTCAGATGGAGGCTGTAGAACGCCACCACTTGTCTCCACCACTGGACTCAGACTCAGATGGAGGCTGTAGAACGCCACCACTTGTCTCCATCACTGGACTGAGACTCAGACGGAGGCTGTAGAACGCCACCACTTGTCTCCACCACTGGACTCAGACTCAGACGGAGGCTGTAGAACGCCACCACTTGTCTCCACCACTGGACTCAGACTCAGACAGAGGCTGTAGAACGCCACCACTTGTCTCCATCACTGGACTGAGACTCAGATGGAGGCTGTAGAACGCCACCACTTGTCTCCACCACTGGACTCAGACTCAGACGGAGGCTGTAGAAAGCCACCACTTGTCTCCACTCCTGTAGGAGCTCCGTGGCTCCCGCCAGAATTTCCTCTGGCACCTCGCAGTTCAGACCTAGCCTCTGTGGTCCAAGACTTTCATATCTGTAAGAATATAATATCATTTGGTAGTTCACAATTTTTATTTCTTAAAAAAAGATTAACAAGATAGATATTCTTATTGGTACAGGCTTACTGTTTAAATGTCAGTTTTTCAGCTTTTCTGATGGTCAATTTCTGTGCCCCAGTTACAAAATCATGTTTTAAATGAAGAATTATCCACTGTAAGGCAGCTCTGTAACAGTGTAGCTTGAGAGAGGGTGGGTTGTCTAAAGGAATAATAAAACAACACTGAAATGAGCCTGGGGATGAACAATACTCAACACATGCTCAATAAAACTATTAATACTTCTTTTTGACTATCATAATTTTCTATGAGAACATGGGGAAAAATAAAACCTGAATTGACAAGTTAGGCAAAATTGGGGAAGAAACTGTTAACCAATTATTTAAAGTATCAAGGCATGATGGCCATCCAGCCAATCTGTGAAAAATTACTCAAAAAATAGTTGTGATGGCTTTAATTCATAGACTACTGCCTTGATGCAATGTAATCTAATAGTGAATTACCTTTCAATCTTTGGATGTAGGAATCAGCAAAATGACAGGCCATCTCTCTGGCTTCATAACTAAGGGTCGAGTGTGGTAACCTGGTTACAAAATCACTCATGGGGTAACCCACAGGGTCTGATTTACTGTTTCTTAAAACAAAATATTTTAAAAAGCAAATTCAGAAAAAACAATTAAAAAAACTTCATATAACAAAGTAAATATATCTTTTTTTACAAAACATTCTTGAAATTAAACAATGTATAGGAATGAAATCTAAATAAACCCACTTTACTTACAGTGAAATGGATAATTTCATATAACAGCAGCCAACGGAAGCTAGTCCCACTACATCTGGACAGGAAGTGAACACTCTAAGCATTGTGGGAGTTAGATCTCCACAGGCATGGAGTCCAGTCAGGAGGAAGGGCTGTCTGGCTGGAGTGGTCTCACCATTGAGTTCTCTGTTTAAAGAATAGCCTTCTTCATTCATCATAGCATCTGATCCTGGCCTGCCTAGGGCTACAGCACATTTATCACATTTATAAACATCCTCTCCACTCATAAGTGAAGTACACTTTCCAATCAAGGGATCATATTTGTTTTGACTAGAATCACAGGAGGGGGATTCTTCAGAACACAGGTATTTCTTACAGTTATCACAGAAATTATTGGAAAAACTCGGGGGACTATTGCTTGGAATATGCCCATCAGAATGTCTATTACTTTGAATGGGATTACTCTCTTGATTATCTCTTTCAATATCAGTGCTTGTCAACTTTAGCATTTTGTTTGATTCTGTACCACAAGTTTTTAAAATCTTCTCGTCATCTAATGATGCAGATTGCATCATGTGCATTTTTGGAACACTAGTAAGTCCTTCTTGTGGAGTCTCTCTTGTAAGCCCCGGGTCACTTTCTGCTTTACAATGGCTGCCAACATTAGACCTGTTGAATGACTCCTATTTTGTCTAGGAACTTCCTCTGGGTTGTGTCTGCTGTGATGTAACAGGTCACATGACATGGGAGATCAGCCTCACTTTCAGTGTGACCTTTACCCTGCATAACCAATTAAAGATTTGAATTATATGACATACACAAGGTATAATAAAGAAATGTGACCTTTATTTTGTTAAATTTTTTAAATCACAAATAAAGACATAATATACCAACAATTTACACCTGGTGAAGGCATAAAACAAATGCAATGGCTTAATTATTTTCACATCACTAAAAACTTTCCAATTAATGAGTTTTTCTCGTTGATGTAAGTTTTAGTTAAGGAAAAAGTTTTATAAATTTTACTGAATTTAGTACAAGGAAATATAATAGCATGCTTAAGGTGGTTTAATCTACATGTAGGTGTTCATCTAAAAGTCCAACCTTTGAGTAAATATATTGTATTAAGACATGCTGGATGTATGAAACTTTTGAAATCAAAAATAAAATTAAAGAGCTCACCTTTGAGATCTGTCTGTGAGCATCTCTAGTGAAAAATAGAACAATGACTTTAATTATTCATACCAGAAGTCTCTGTCGAGACTGAAGCTCTACTGGTTTGTACTTATAGCAAAGGAAGAGAAAAGTACTTTAGCAGTTGGGAATTGAACCTTAACAACAGCAATAAATAGAATAATGATCCTTGATAAAGTTCCTTTATGTTCTTAGTGTAGTCTACTTGTGTGCCAAGTTATATTGAAATCAGACTGAGACTAAAACTGTAGGAGGAGTAGCATTTTGAAAAAAATTTAGAGACATTTCTATTTTTAGTAACCATGGCAACACCATTCATCAAAATCAAAAACAGATAGACAGAATTATAAATCTATGTGTAGTCTACTGGTGTGCCAAGTTATATTGAAATCAGACCAAAACTGTAGGAGGAGTAGCATTTTGAAACAATTTTACAGAAATTTCTATTTTCAGTAACCACAGCAACACTGCTCATGGAAATCAAAAACCTATGTATAGAATTATGTATCTTAGTGCAATCTAAGTTATATTGAAATCAGACCAAAACTTTAGGAGGAGTAGCATTTTGAATTAATTTCACAGAAATTTCTATTTTCAGTAACCACGGCAACAAGGTTCATCGAAATCAAAAACTGATAAACAGAATTATGTATCTTAATGTAATCTACTTGTGTGCCAAGTTATATTGTAATCAGACCAAAACTGTAGGAGGAGTAGCATTTTAAAGGAATTTCACAGAAATTCTATGTTTAGTTACCACGGCAACACCGTTTATCGAAATCAAAAACCGATACACAGAATTATGTATCTTAGTGTAGTCTACGTGTGTGCCAAGTAATATTGAAACTAGACCAAAACTGTAGGAGGAGTAGCATTTTGAAAAATTGTTTACAGATAGATGGACAGCTAGACAGACAGATGGACAGACAGACAGACTCCGGACGCATTGCTATCCCATAAGCTCTTCTGGTCTCTGACCAGTAGAACTAATAAGTAAAACTAAACTATACAAAAATTTAAACCAACATAAAACTGAAAACATAAAAACATTTCAATCAAGACAGGTGAAGAATTGCCAACATCATTAGTTCAGAAGTTCAGAGACTTCATCATATTTAAGTGCTCTCAAAAATCTGGATGCTCAATTTACTCAGCCTATCATATTGCTCAAGAATACCTGCATCAAGATTAAAGAGGCTCTACTATATTAACATTTTACACTCACTGGTCATATTTTTGTGCTTTAGGAGCATGGCATCCTTCAGCCTCTACTGTTGTGACCTTGAACCCATGCTGGAAGGTCAAAAACCTAGACAAATGACCTTGACCTGCTCCCACATCCACATTGTGCTCACAGTCACACGTATCTCCAAGAAACCTTAAAGCCTAGAAAAATGAGATCAAATATGTGGAAAACAGTTGTTAAAATCATCGACAGTATGTTATACTGTAAATTCCTTATTTTTCATGAATTCTTTTCGTCGCATACTGGCTCTTTAATGTCAAGTCTCGAGAATGATAATACGCAAATAGATAGTTGATCAATAGAATTTAAATGTATTTCCGCATCCCAAAAATAAGTGATTATTAAAATATTAATTTGTGAGTGATGCTTCTTGCAAAATTAAATAATGCAGAAATTAATTCTTTGTGTATAATTAAGAAATGAATTTAATTTTTGAAGATTCATGAGGTTATGAACTACGATGCTTCACACCGGCATATATCATGAAGCATGTTTGCGCTTCATGATTAATATGCCGACGTGAAGCGGTGTAATTCATATACCTCATCAATCTTCAAAAAATTAAATTCATTTCTTATATTTACATTATTTTTCTGATGACTTGCCATGAATTTACACCATTCAACTGTCATTTAAAAAAAAAAGGGTTGTGCACTATATTTTTCAGTGTCAAGAGTGGTATTATGACCTAACAATAGAGATATTCATGCATATTCATGGGACATTCCTAATGTAGTTCATGAGAAAATGAACTGCATTTTTTTGTAAAAAATCAAAGGAAAAAGTTATTGCAAATGTAAATATTTAGGAATCTACAGTAATATACAATTACGGATCTTTAAAAAGGGTGACATCACAAATTGCCAGGGCTGAGGTCTCTGATTGGGTTTGCCACCTGAAGGTGCTAGTGATGTCTCTGTTTTATAAAAGTCAATAAAAAAATTATTTAATAAAATGTTTTATCTTGAACTAAAGAAACAAAATTTTATACTCTGAAAATTGTCTTATTTGTCTTATTTAGATGCTGTGTATTTCCACATCTTGTCTTGACTTTGTAATTTATGATACACAAGGGAAAATGAATTTTAATGTATGTGAAATGTTTGCAAAATGAAATAATATTCCATTCATTTCTTGCTTTTGAA